AAAAAACAAATTAGTTAGAAGTTATATTTGAAAGAAATTTGAACTTATCGTAGTGTATGAGTTTAAGCTGGCTATATATTGGAGGAAAAGCATTCTACGCCATACTGATTTTAAGTGAATGCTGAACTGAGCTCCTTCATTTGGTGTTGTGTTCAGTACAACTGAGATGGTTAATTTCAATGTCAGATATTGATTTGCCATTACTATGAGAAATTGTTTACCGCTACAATATTAAAATAATTTTCTAAGGCAAAAAATTACTTAATAAGACCAATGAAGTAGAAACTAATTTAAAAAAAATTAAAATGATTGTTTCTTAGTGATCATTACTTTTGGTTATTTAAAACAAAATAAGAAAAGTTACATTTTTAACATTAGCATACAAACCAACAATTTCAAATGACCCGTATATTCATTTTAAGTTAGTAGCGTGATGGATGATAAATGAACCAAATAGATACATATATATAAAGCACAAACGTTTTTCAAAGTCAATCCACTTGTCCAATAGATTATTGAATAAAATATCAAAACGATTTCATGAATTTCACATAATATAAATGACCTTGTGTAAAGCGAAAAATAGTATTTTTTATCAAAGGTTATTATTTATGAACGTCCACTAGATACCTCATCTTTCCATTACATAATAATATTTCTCAGGGTGTAAATGTAGCAATGAGCGTATTCAGTCTAAGTATTGATGAATAAGGTTAATTAAAGCACTGTTTATAACATATATTTTTCATCTACCTTATGAATTATACTTAATTTGAATATTAATATAAACATTGTCACTAACATAAACATGTAGCTGATATTACCGAATCGGTATACAACCCTTGTCACTGTCGATTATATAATCTAAATTCATTTTCGTCATCATCTTCATTAGATCTATTATAAAACAATTCCTAATTTTCATCAATTAAGTAAAACATTGTCATCATTAAATATCTAATTAGCGTATCTAGCATCTAAACAATCTTTACTGTGCAAAACTCCTACAATTGCTTTTAAACACCATTATATAACTGTGATAAATTTCAATTTCAGTAAATAATTTGTCATGACTTTTGGTCAAACGTTTTAACTTGAGTTCGTTCAAGCTTAATAAGATTGTTTGAAATAATTTTCTTCGATTCAAATTATTTTTGTCTACTATTTTCCTACGGTAGGTGTTTAATTCTTCATTGGGAAAACTATAGTTAAGTTTTGTTATAAACCAATAAAATATATCAAAAGGGATTTTTGTAGTTATTATAGTAATTTTAATTGTTGAGATCGTGAGTCATTAAGTTAGACATCAACATCGTTGGATGCCGGCTCATAGGTCTAAAGGTTAGGCGTTCGCGCGAGACCGATAGGTCCTGGGTTCGAATCTCGCGATGCGGGATCATTGATGCGCACTGCGGAGGAGTCCCGTATTCGGACGAAACAGCCTTCCAGTGCTTCCAGGTTTTCCATGGTGGTCTAGCTTTAATTGGCTCATGATCTTAACTAGTAAAATATATATTTAAATTGTTTCAAAAACCTAATAATTGTATTTTGGAGAAAATATTAGAAAACAACATAATTAGAAATCACTGAATTGTAGTTACTTCATGAAAATAAAATGATGAAAACTATTATATTGCAATGTATTTTTACATCTCTCATCATTTTGTTGTGCACTTTAGTTACTATTGTTGTCGGAAAATTTATTCGATAAGATATTAGGGAGAATGAGGTAGGTGTATAAAATGAGAACTGATGGTAACGACTCCTGAAAACAAACTGGATGTAATCCAAAAAAAAAATCTATAACTGAATAAACTCACTGTAGTATAATAAGAAATGAAATATGTTATTTGTTTATAAAGTAATTAACTGGTAATTTCATCATGAAAACGATTAACAGCTTTTTTTAGCTGATTTCTTGTGAAAGAATCGTTGATCACGTAGCTTGATCTTCAGTTTCGTGGTATGACTGTGAGTTATTTATCAGATAATAAATGACCAATTAAAAATAACCTTTAGGTCATAAGAATGAATTCTTAATATACCCATTTCAACTGTTACTGCCAACGTGTTGCTTTTGTTGTGTACGTTTTGCTGATAATCCTGTTTTTTATTTTGTTAATTATGCTAACTGATCTGATAAGATACTTGTAATGACATAAATTGAAAATTTTCGCTCATTACATTAAGGCTCCGGATATTGACCAAATAGACTTCAGAAAAACAGACTCATTATCTAACAGACAGAGTATTTAGATACACAATAATTAAGTACAAATTTTGATTGCGAGCGAACTTAGAAACTTGTCTACCGGTAAATCGTTTATTAATGAGTCAATAATCAATGATAATAACCTAAATCTTAAGACAACTTTGGAATGTCCACTTTAAACTGTCTTCATTATTACTTTACTTATATGGTTAGGTGGATTTCGTCAGTTCCTTTAGCGTCTAGATTTAATTTAGTGGTGATACTTGAAATCACAATATGAAGATTGAGATTTGTACCGACACTGTATTCATCAAGAAGTATATTACCAAAACTACGATTTTGTGATCAGTATCTTCTCGCCAGGCAAACTACTGTGGCTTAGGTAAGATGGAAAGAAACTATATCGTATCAAAGATTTTTCATTTAGTCGGTGATTGACAAAACTAAATATTTGTAAAAGATCTTGTTGACTCAATTCACCTTGTGATATGCTAAAGAGTGAGACCTGTAAAAGGCCATCATACGGCAAACAAAAGGAACCGCATAGATTATTTTGATGTAAAAATGCAATTTTGAATAAGGACAAAATACACAGCTTCTAACTGGGACGTTTTCAAGGTGCAATTCAAGATCAGCCTAACTTCTTCAAAGAATCCTATTAGTGAATATTTAATAAAGTTTGGTGTGATATTATGACAGAAAGGTGGATTATTTATGACGAGAAAGACAAACCATAAATCACGTTGTTGTGAGAAATGAAATGCTGACTCCCTAAGTGAAATCAACACGTTCAATATAGATTGAATAGCCTGAAAAGCCAGACATTTATCTCATTGTGCTACTGAGGATTTCAAACTGATTCTTTTAAACAAAGAATAAATGGCACGACAACGAGATGGATTTATTGAGGATATAAATAAACAGCATGACGATTCATGGTTCACTTGCGAAATAGTTCTCAAAATTTGTGGTTATAACTTTGTAGAAGGATTTTCGCTAAGAATATCCACTAGTTCATTTATCATAATCGTCCTATCTTCTACATTTATTTGATTAGCAAATAACCTAGTTCATCCAAGTGTTATGTAAATAGTATTCAACAAATTAGATAATAATAAGAAGATGAATCAATTCATGCTTTAAATATTTCAAACTTATCGCACAATCTATATATTGTGTTTTGTTCGATAACATCATCTTGTCGAGTTCCATTACCAGATCCTGTAAGGCTTGGAACCTGTTGTTGAGAGCTACCTTGAATTCATTGAGTTTGTCAGTATCTCGAAGGAAGGCTGTATTGAACCTTTGTGGTGCTGTTTGTCCAGTTGTCCAGTTCTTCTTTAGCTTCAGTTTCAATTTGGCCACAACTAGGTGATGATCTGAAGCTATGTCCGCTCCTCTCCTGGTTTTCACATCTTCCATTGTCCTTCGGAACTTTTTATTGATGCAAATGTGATCTATCTGGTTCTCTGTGGTGTGGTCCGGTGAGATCCACGTAGCTTTGTGTATACGTTTGTGTGGAAATGTTGTACCGCCTATGACCAATTTATTGAATGCACACAGATTTGCAAATCTTTCCCCGTTTTCGTTTCTCTCTCCCAGTCCATGCAGTCCCATGATGTCTTCATATCCGGTGTTGTCCATTCCGACTTTGGCGTTTAGATCTCCCATCAGAATGGTGATGTCCTTTCTTGGGCACTTCTCTATGATTGATTGCAGCCTCTCATAGAATTGATCTTTAACGTCGTCGTTGCTATCATTGGTAGGTGCATAACATTAGATAATGTTCATTGTGATCCCCTCCTTTGTTTTGAATGATGCTTTGATGATTCTGGATCCGTGAGATTCCCATCCTACAAGTGCATTTTGTGCTACTTTGGATAGCATTAGAGCAACTCCCTGAGTGTGTGGAGTATTTTCCTCTTCGTGACCGGAGTATAGCAGCATCTCTCCCGTATTTAGCCTTTGTTGTTCAGCTTGGGTCCAATGGGTTTCACTGATTCCCAGTACTGCCAAGTTGTATCTCCTCATTTCCGTTGCTATTTGACTGGTCTTCCCGTTCTCCCACATTGTCCGGACGTTCCATGTACCTATAAAAATTGTTGCTCTGGTTGTTAGAAGGGGCATCGGCCTCGTGGCTTCCGAAGGAACTCGGCTTTCACCATGAAGCGTCATATTACCTCTAACTCCCAGGGCAGGGTTTAAATGGTTTGAGTTATTTTTTCTGGTTAGCGTTTTTTTAGCGAGTTAGGTTTCTACGGGATGGGACGCTAACCCCATGCTCAACCCTCCTCCTTTACCCGGGCTTGGGACCGGCAGTAACTCTGGAAGAGTTACAGGCGGAGTTAACAAAGAATGCAGGATTGTTTAAATTGGATTTTCATTAATGTTACTTGAGAACATTTTTCATGGCCTAAATTGTACAATTAGTAAGGAAAATGAATTAATATATTAGATTGAATATATTTTCTGTACAAAATTAAGAAATACATTATGATTCAGATTCAGAACATATGGACTTATGGTTATTATTGATCATTTTCGTATGGATTCATAGACACGGTCGATAAACAATTTAAGGGAGGAGAGAAATTTATTCGACATTAGCATACAAAATAAAAAGTTCTTCTCAATAAGTATTGCAACTGATACCATAAGACAAGGATAAGTTACTGTTGTCAAAGCTTTGATTATCTTCTCTTCATGACTGACCTTCAACTCAGCCAATCATATGTAAGTTAGCTATGATTGGTTGATTTGTTTAATCTGTAATCGTAAAAATGGTAACGCATTTTGATCAAAGATGTACTGGTGTTAATTACGATGGTGAATACCTAAGCGTGTAGACTATGAGCAAAACGGCAAGTAAGTCATGAAAAAGTTGATGTTCTTTTTATAACCACAAATTTAATTTATTATTATATATATCAGTATAGACTCTTGCTTGGAGTGAATCACTAGCCTGCATGTAATTTTAACCACGTATGGTACATTTTGTCAGGTAAATTATAGTCATCAAAACATATTTTTCATCTTATTCACCACACTCAACATATAACACGTTTTCTGGAAGGTTGGCTAAAGTGTATATGCAGCTTAAAATAGGTCTGTTATTGTTAAGTTCAGAATGAATCGTTAACATATTACTTTCAAACTAACAACTACTTTCACACTAAATGGCGTTTATTGATTTGATTAGGATTCTATCATTGTTACGGTTTCGTTTTTACACCCATAATTCTGAAAGTTACTGGAATCTTTATTCGATTTGAATTTTATAAACGCATATCAACAATCCTTATTGCATTTTCTTTTGACTATCGAATAGCATGACAGTCAAGCAGAAATATTAGATTCCGTATACTGATAGGTACTAGCATATATGTACGGCTTCATTTACTTTTCCATAACTATGACCAGTGGAAGTAATCCGTGTCAGGTATATATAGGTATCAACCTCAGACAATCGAAGGTGGTCGCACAATTTCATAGATTGGTTGAAGTTAGACACCGTTGTACACAAGCGCGGTGGTCTAGAAGTTAAGTGTTCGTGCGTGAGACCGAAGATCCTGGGTTCGAACACCGCGTGCGGGATCGTGAATGCGCATTGATGAGGAATTGCATACTAGAACAAAACGGCCGTCCAGTGTTTCCAGGTTTTCAATAGTAGTCTAACATTCATTGGTTCATAATCTCAATCAAAAACATAATCTCCACAATCCCACACTGATAATGTATTCTAAGCTGTTTTGCTAGGAATATTTAACCAAAACTTGTATTCAACTTAATAGTTTCAGAGTCTCAAATAAACGAGATGAGCTCAGAAAAATGTTAACATTTACACCGGGTTGCTTTATTTAGAATCACTTATCCATCTTAAAATAGACTGAATTGTATTTAACCTTTGGTTTTATATAGAAACGAGAAGTCAGAATTGATCTAATTCAAAGAATTTTTAAATGTACATAAATCATATATCAACACTTTGCAGATAGTTGAACTATTATTTAGAAAACTACCTTTAAAATTAACAGGTTAGTCATCGGTCGACGACTTCTGGAATAATTTTGACCTGATTTTACTAAATTATTAGAAGTTGATATATATATCTAGTGTGTTTGGATTTGAAGCGTTAGTGCTTTTTTAGGCACAAATAAACTGAAGCAACTTTTAACTTGTAAAGTTGGTAGAATTTCAGTGTTAATGATTTGGTATCTTTATATGGCATTTTATGAAAATCTCCATTTATTATTTATCATTCAATTCACATGTGATTATATCTTAGTGATAAACATATAATGGTCACATGTATCTGCAAAACTTGAATTTTCACCAGTAAACCATTATTAATATCTTAGCTAATTGAAAACCGGTTGTTTTCTAGATATTTATGATTGTAATTTTAGGATTTACTCTGCAAAACAGTATAAATTTACTTTTCTTCAAATCATTCTTTTAAATTTTTCTGTGTAGTCTCGTTTTAAAATTTTCTACTGTTATAATTTGAATGCCCTCCTAGTTAGTTGTTTATCAAGCTTCATGATTTAGAAGTAGATTAGAAAAAACTAGTGGTGGTCAAATCATTACGTGTTATCAGTTCGTGAGGTCATGCATACACTGTCGGACCAAGCCGTGTTAGTACATAAACCCCACATGATATCGATGATCGGTTGTTGAAGTCTTTGAGTCACATGGTTAGGAGTTTATCAAAGTGACCCAGGTGTATCTAATCGTTTTCTTTCTCTACATCTTGTTTCAGTTTTCTACCATACATATAAAATTTCATTTATTCTCTTCTAATTATTTGTTTTTTGTTAATTATTTCGGATTATTTATCGCACTGCTACTGTTTACGTTTATTGGTCTGCTGATGACGTAAGATATGTTGAGATAAACTAAACTTGTTCCAGTTTTTAGTTTACGTTTTTTTCACTGGTATCACTAAACTGTATGAACGCAAAATCTTATAGCAGGCAAAATATGACCTCACTGTACAGATTCCTACACAGGTGACTTTCTGGAAATCTGTATTATTTCAGATTAGTTCTTTAAAATGCTTGAAGTTTCACGACATAAATTTCTTTACAATTGTAGTTGTATCGCTAATTGAAATTTAGAGAGTTGTTTTTGTTGAAACCCAAGTTCTTTATTTGGTAATTAGAGCACTGGAAATGGTGTGCAATGTGATTAGATGGTGGTTGGAGGTAGTCGACAGGAAACCCTGGACTCAGGTTTCGCGCTACTTGGCACTCGTCAGCAAAGTGTACCTGTAATCTTGAGGGAACTGGTGCTCCCTGACGGATTCGATCCCGTGTCATCCAGCTTCACAGTCAGAGACGTTACCACTGAGCTATCCGGGCCACTACCGACCTCCTGTAAGACTGATATGTAATCACAATTGATTGATCACTGGGTTAGAGGTCAATGTCATGTGTTTCAAGTCCTTGTTAGTGCAGATCGAATGCTATCGACCAAGTTGCAATGTGGCCACCAGTCTAGGTGACTTGACACTGTGTGCATTATGTTGAGATTAGATGGTGGTCGGAGGTAATCGACAGGAAACCCTGGACCCGGATTTCGTGTTACTTGGCACTCTGCATTAATCAGGACTTGACACACATGACATTGATCACCATCCAGCAATCAATCAGTTGTGATAGTGTACAATGTTGTTGGATGATTCAGTTTTCGTACTACACATTATCTACTAACACATTTATGGAAAAGATTACGAAAATGTCAGGAATAAGTGGTAATTCAATTGTTGTAACAATAAATTCAGGACTTGCGGATATTCATTTTTTAAAATAAAAACCAGACCGTCGTTTAATAGTTTAGGAATAATATTAGACATTTTTCTTTGTCATGAGTACACGATCCATTCAAAAAATGGTTTGCAAGTATTAAACATGTTGTAAAAAGTGTAATATTCTGGTCCAACTAAATTTGGTTGTTGAACTCAAGTATCTTAAGAAGTTAGTTTTTACAGGTGATTTCTTTTCGATGCATTCAAATTGAGAACCGGAGTCAGAAAAGGCTGCTGACTCTCCCCTTTCTCTTTCTTCCGGTGGTTGACTGGATTATGAAGACGTCCATATCTAAGGGGAAGCACGAAATATAATGGATAGCTTAAAATCAGTTAAATGATTTGGACTTCGTAGATGACCTGGCCAATCCATCCCATACACACGAACGAATGCAGATGAAGACAAGTAGTGTAGCAGCAGCCTCCATACACAAGGAAAAATCAAGGTCCTGAAATAAAACACGGAGAATACCAACCTAATCACATTTGATGACTAAACTCCGGAAGATGTTGAATCTTTCGCGTATCTGGACAGCATCATCGGTGAATGTGGAGGATCAGATTCAGATGTGAAACCAAGGATTGGCAAAGCATGGGCCACATTCCAACAGTTGATAAACATTGAACTCAAAACAACTCTCAACCAACATCAATACGTAAGTCAAGACAGTTTTACTGTACTGAGCTGAAAACTTCGAGAACTGCTACAACCATCATCAAAAGATTACAAGTATTTATAAATAGTTGTCTATTCAAGATACTCAATTTTCTTTGACCAGATACCATCAGCAACAGTTTACTGCAGAAGAGAAAAGCCAGCTCTCATCTGAAGATGAAATTGGAAAAGACGGTGTAAGTTGATAGTACGCACATTAAGGAAATCATCAAACTACATCATGATGTAAGCACTAACTTGGAAACGAGAAAAAGGAAGGCCAAAGAACACACAGAGTTGGAAGTTAGAGGCAGACATAGAAAGAAAGTATAGCAACTGAAAAGGATTACCTAAGAGAGAGCTGGTGGGCGGCCTATGCTCCTTCACGAGGGGTAACAGGCGTAAGTAAAAAAACTGAAGTCTTACTTATGACTATCCTAAATCATCAGTCCTATTATGTTCGAATCCCAATGGAAAAAATGTTGTACATATGCTGAGAAATTTTATTTGATTAAGAAAATCAAGTTACCAAACATAAGAACTACTATTGCTTAGGAAGGTCGTGTTGTTGTACCCTATATCGTTTAAGTAGCAGTATATTAGACCTTCGAAGCTATGATCCCAACTTACAAATCTCAAATATGACGAAATATATTTTGAATTTAACCATTACCTAATGGTTATCAAGATGGCGATCATTTTAAGACATCCTACTGACTTAAGTGTTGACATAATTTAAAACAAAATTCCTTCTTTTGAATACTAATTGGATGATTCATGTAAGTAATGATAATTTCAGTATGTCGCTAAGACAGCTGAAACATTTAGATTTAAATGTCCACATTTAAGTTCAAGCAAACTATCATATTTTAAGCCTTTAACAAGAAGCTAGATATTTAAATCTTAACATTTTCTTGCTCATTCAATCGACTAACTTTCTCAACACAAGGGTTAGTTTCTACAACATTGACAAACATGAGTAATTGTTACGGTAGGCTGAATCATATGTTTCAGTATGAAATAAACCAGACATTTCATCCTCCCAAATTCTATATATATATATATATATATATATATATATATATATATCGCATTCCTTCAATTGAAGAACATATGGAACTCAAAACAACTTTCAACCAATATCAAAGTCAGAATCTTCAATACGAATGTCAAGGCAATTATACTGTACGGAGCTGAAACTTGGAGAATTAAAACAACCACCATCAAGAAGGTACAGGTATTTATCAATAGCTGTATACGCAAGATACTCAACATCCATTGGCCGGATACCATCAGCAACAGCCTTTTGTGGGAGAGAACCAACCAGCTTCCAGCGGAAGAGGAAATTAGGAAAAGACGATGGAAATGGATAGGATATACATTGAGGAAATCACCGAACTGCAT